GTCAATCAAAATCAAAAGAAGTTAATGTTAGTGTAAAACCAGTGAATAGCCCCATACTACAGATTTGATATACTATATCATAGCAAAATTATCTTTATTAGTGGTTTGAGTCATTATATCCAACATCTGCCTGCTAATTGTTTCATTCTGCTGCTTGACATGACGAATCATGCCCTTGTTTTGTACCCGAAAGCAAATGCTAAGAACCATTCCATAGAACTGAACTGACCCTGTCAAAAAACAATGTGGAATATGCAATAACTGAATATTTAAGAATTCTGGCTTCTTGTAAAATAGTACATGTGTTTTCCTTTCTTCAATAAGCCTCCTGCATGCTTTACATGTAGAAATCATTCAATTACTATGCTAAAATATATCTTCCCTTGGTATAGTAAGTTATATTTTTTTATTTTGGTTCAGGGCTGCTTTGAGAGCCAGAATATCTTCTTTGACAAACCTAGCACTCTATGGGCACTGTATAAAGACTGTGACCTTACTTAAATGTTAATGTAGATAAGTACTATTTTTCTAAGTATTTATATATGGTCCTCATTACCATGACACTTGAGAGCACTTTTCATAAGTTGGAACTGTATTAAAAAACAACTTACCTAAACCAGGAAATATTTCCCAATACTTTGCAGCAACCAACACAGCCTCTCTGTGAGGATCTGCAAAGGTGGATAGCAGCTAGTAGTCCAAGTGGTAGGAGATTAAGTGCCAGTAGATTAAGCATTTAATGAAATATTTGAACAAAGATAGTTTACACTTCACTGCAAAGATGTCTGGGCTGGCATGAGGCATATATCCAGCAGCACTGAACTCTGGCAGCTGGCACTCCTTAATGAGAATCCATTGAATATGGATCCCATGAATTTCATTATTAGAACAGCTACATTTCTATCATTATTAGAACAGATAGCCAAGACATTCATTCTTAGTATAATTGCATATAGGGGCCAAGGGCGGGGTTTTTTTCTAGGTAAATGGGGCCTAGAATATTTAGGGAGTTGTAAATAGTGATAAGCATCTTGAATTTCACCCACTCATGGACCGGGATTCCAAGCAGAGTGAAGAGTACTGTTACAGATTATTACAGGTATTTGCTCTCATCTTGCCTGAAGGCTGAAGAGCTGCATTCTGCCCTAGTTGAAGCTTTTGGTGGTCTTCAAAGTTAGCACCTAGTGGAGATCCTTTCATAAGATGTAGAAATTACAAAACTTAATGCTGAGAAACAAATGAGGTATTTCTAAGTATTTTCAAAAAATATATAACTCCCTCAAGCCTGTAGGTTGCTGATGTCCAAAATAAGTCAAATCTCATTTAAAGATATTTCCATGATACTTCCATGATATTTCTATGATCTATGTATGGTGACCCCAGACCTGCAAACACAAAACACATGCTTACCTTTGTCCATTTGAATAGTCCTGTTCCAGTAAAGTGATAACTGGATAGGACTACACACATGCATTAATGTAATCACAAATATGTTTGCAGCATTTGGGACATTATCACTAATGGGCACAGCAAAGAAGAATAATTCAGTATATCTAAGTTACTCCTTATCTTGCTCTGTCTGGCAAATATATTGGTGGACTGATAACCCCAGTTGCAGGTAATCTCACTTACTCTGGATTCATTTTCAGGCAGTTCAAAAAGTTTCTCCTTCTAGTCCTGAATATTTGTAGTGTATTTATACTGAGACATTTTTAAAAAAATCCTCCCGTTTCCTCAACCTTACTCACAATAAATAATTTCAGCATTTCTGGAGGAGATGGTACTATGAATCAAAGTATTCCTTTTTCTGCTCTCTCCCCAAACTTCCAGGCTACGTCTAGACTGGCATGATTTTCCGCAAATGCTTTTAACGTAAACGTTTTCTGTTAAAAGCATTTGTGGAAAAGAGAGTCTAGATTGGCACGGACGCTTTTCCGCAAAAGCACTTTTTGCTGAAAAACATCCGTGCCAATCTAGATGCGCTTTTGCGTAAAAAAAAGCCCCGATTGCCATTTTCGCGATCGGGCCTTTTTTGCGGAAAACAAATCTCAGCTGTTTATACTGGCCCTTTTGCGCAAAAGCTTTGTGCAAAAGGACTTTTGCCCGAAAGGGAGCAGCATAGTATTTCCTCAAGAAGCACTGATTTCAGACAGTAGGGCTACATCTACACTGGCATGATTTTCCAGAAATGCTTTTAACGGAAAAGTTTTTAACGGAAAAGCACTTTTTGCGGAAAAGCGTCCGTGACCAATCTAGACGCGGTTTTCCGCAAAAAAGCCCCGATCACCTTTTTCACGATCGGGGTCTTTTTGCGGAAAACAGTACTATGCTGTCTATACTGGTCCTTTTGTGCAAAAGTCTTTCGGAAAAAGACTTTTGCCCAAACGGGAGCAGCATAGTTTTTCCGGAAAAGCACTGATGATTTTACATGAGATTGTCAGTGCTTTTGCAGAAATTCAAGCGGCCAGTGTAGACAGCTGGCAAGTTTTTCCAGAAAAGCAGATGATTTTTCTGGAAAAACTTGCCAGTCTAGACACTGCCAGGGTATGTCTACACTATATGGCTCTGTCGACGGAGCCATGTAGATTTGTTTATTGGGCAAAGGGAAATGAAGCAGAGATTTAAATAATCGCCGCTTCATTTAAATTTTAATGGCTGCTGCGCTGAGCCAACAAACAGCTGTTCAGCTGTTTGTCGGCTCAGCGTGGCAGCCATGTAAATTAAAATGAAGCGTCGATTATTTAAATCGCCGCTTCATTTTTCTCTCCGCCCCAGTAAACCTCATCTGGATTAGGTTTATTGGGTGGTCGACAAAGGGCTTTGATGTCGACAGCGGAGCATCCAGACTAGCGCGCTGAGCCGACAAACAGCTGATCAGCTGTTTGTTTGCTCAGCGCGGCAGCCATGTAAATGTAAATGAAGCCGCGATCATTTAAATCGCGGCTTCATTTAGTCTATTGATGGAGCCATGTAGCCTAGACACAGCCTAGGAAGTCAATGTTCTTGAGGAAATTCAAGCGACCAGTGTAGACAGCTGGCATGTTTTTCCGTAAAAGCAGCTCCTTTTGCGGAAAAACTTGCCAGTCTAGACACACCAAAGTATAACAAGTGCAATTGGAACAAAGGGTCAGGTAAGAAGCTGTAAAATAAATTATTTACAGTGAAACTGCACTAAGGGACAAATTGATCTGGCTACCTTATAGCTTCACACTACATTAAAGTGTTCTAAAGGCTGCGAGTGCAATTTAGCTTCATGTATTTAAAGATCGCCTGTTTCATTTCTACTAGGCAACCAACTTTTGATGGAAGTGCAATTGGAACAAAGGGTCAGGTAAGAAGCTGTAAAATAAATTATTTACAGTGAAACTGCACTAAGGGACAAATTGATCTGGCTACCTTATAGCTTCACACTACATTAAAGTGTTCTAAAGGCTGCGAGTGCAATTTAGCTTCATGTATTTAAAGATCGCCTGTTTCATTTCTACTAGGCAACCAACTTTTGATGGCCCTGAGGGAACTGGGGGTAATGAGTCCACTCCAGGATGGGGCCCAAACTTCTGAGGTGAGTCACGGTAAAAGTATTTTACTAAAATATCCCTGTAAGAAGCCACGCTCATGCGAAAGGCCGACAGCACCCAGCCAACCCCCCGGCTAGCGTCTCTCTCCACAGTGTGAAGCACTGCTTTCTGTCCGCTCCAGCCCTCCTCCATATGCCACTGCCATCCTCTGGTGCTGCTCCAGCGGCTGCAAAAGTGCCCAACATCTAACAGGACCACAAGCTGAAGGCGGGAGGACCGTAACGCTCCCCGACCACCCGTCCCCTTGCTGGTCCACTCAGCTTCCAGCCCAGCTGCCCCGAAGCAAACTTGGATCCAATCCGGAGGCAGCGGGGCGGAGTTTCGGGACTTTGGTTCCATCTCCCCCTCCTGCTCTGGGCGCTGGCCATTGGCAGAGCCTGGGGCTGCTCATTGTGTGTATGGTAATAAGCGGCTGCGGCGCTGTACCCCACTCCGCCTCCCCGGCGCGGCGCTGCCACCGCCC